TAAGACCAAAGGTGATGTCACCCATAAGTTGTCAAAGCCTGAAATGCAGCAACCATACTGGCCTGTCTTGTGCCTGACCACCCTACACTTGACCAGTCTCAGCATCTTAAATCTGTCTTCTTCCTCCCCGCACCAGTACTACTTTAGTTCAGTCCCTGGCCTTTGTTGGCTGGCCCCTGCAGTAGATGCCTAACTATTCTGTCATCTCTGGTCTTCATCCCTTAAAATCTCAACATGTTCTCTGCTTGAAAGGTAACCTTTGAGCTTTCAGCTGGGAACTCCCAGAGATTCCCTGGCTTGTGCACCGTGCAGAGTGAAGTCAATGACTAGAATGACCTGCAAGGCTTTTATGACTTGGCATGAACCTGTCTCTCAAGACCTTTTCCTGCTACTTCCTATTTATGTTTTGGTGATAATAAATGGTCACACTCATGCACACACATCTACACACACAGATGCTCTTCTGGTCCATCCCTCCATGCTTTGGGACATGCTGTCCCTTCTAATAGAACTCACTTCCCCAATTTTCTCTTGGCTAATTCCCAGGTCTGTCTTTACACTTAGCTTCAGTGTCACCTTCTCCAAGACGCTTTCCTTAAACTCAATCTTGGGCTAAGTCATCCTCTCCTGTGCCAGCCATTTTTCATAAAAAAGTATCTATGTGTACCTACCCATCTTGTTAGCTTGTCCAGAGACATGATTGTATCATATTCATACAGAGTGCATCCTCAATAACTGCCTATAGAATTCTTTTTTGTGGACCCCCCCCATCTGTTCAGGATTACCAAATAAGTATCAGTCATCACAAAAGCTTACTTCAATGTTTATTTCAGAAGGATATTCCAAATAGGTGGAACTACTTGACAGGCAAGAAATGATGTGGGTTAAAACTGAAGGTCAAAGGCTGCCATTTTTATAAAAGAAATGTCTATGAGGAAGGTCTCAAGTCTTTCCGAAATGTCCCTTATTTTGATGCATAATAACATCTGATCAGGCATAAAATGCACATTAAGATTTATTTGTAAGACATTACCCCATTCTGGTATCCAAGAAACCACAAATATCCTGTAGAATTTATAAAACTTAAATACAAAAATAAACTTGTAAGAATACATATTAATAACCAGAGATCACAAGGGTGCCTATAATAGTCTAGAATCAGATAATATTATTTTCTTCTTTGTTACAAATTAAAGACATCCTGACAACATTGTATGTTCACCTATTTGCAGACTTCAAAATGCCATCTATTTGCTGCAGAACACGTCATAGCTACCTGTAGTAGATACTAACATCATTGAGAGTAGCTATCTTTAATCAACTTTATAAACTTGAACTCACAGAACCAAAAAATCAGCAAAATATTGCTTTGGAAATTGCCATGTCAGAAAATAGAGATATTTACTTTTAGTATGGAACCCATGCTCTTGAAATAAGGGGAGGAAGCCCTTTCTGCCTCTCAGCAGCCCTTCTCGCTCCTGCTGCATGCGTATTACACAGGGTTGGAAGGTAGCCCTCCAAAATATTAGCTGAAAGCTTCCTCGGAAAGCAAATCTTTCCCACATCCTTCCCTGCAGTTCTTCTTTAAGAGGTGTCAGCATGGCTGAAAGAATGAAGTGGCTGCACATTGTTTGGCCCTGCTATTATGTGCTTAACATTTCCATAACAAAAGTGCCACTCGACTTCTCCCCGATTAATGCAGCTCGAGGGCCCTTGTCGTCCTTTAATAAAACATTGTTGAAATCATTTATTTAGAGCCCCTGGTTACTAGTGGGAGAATGACCATCTTTGTGCCAAAATATAGTGTATACAGTCTACTATTTTGTAGTAGATCATTCTGTTATTTAAGAAATTGATTAAATGGATGCCTTAGAAGGTATTTATGCTAATAGCACATTACTTAAGTCATTCAGATAGTCAAGGGTGAACCTTTTCAACTGTGTCCCAGAGGCAATCTCTCAAATAGACTACAGTAAAGTCCAACTTAACTCACAAGGCAGTGAGACCTACCGGAAATTCAACCCAACCAGAACTACTCTGGGTACAGCCTTGCTTTGATTAGCTGGGAGAAACTGGGCCAATTGACAAAGATTCTGATGGTCCTTGGTGTAAGAGGTCAAAAAATAAATAAGGTATGCTTTTCTTTATAGGAGTTTAAAAGAGATACAATACATGAAGTTATTTTGTTAGAGAACTTCTGCGGTGAACTTAATAAGCTAACAATGGATAGCTAAAGTAGATATATTTTCAACACAGGGTTTGATGTCTCTGAAAGTTCTCATAGAATATTTTTGGTCCCTTTTTATTCGATGGTGAGTGACATTGCTGTGATGGAGTGAGTGTCAACAGAGAGAGTGGCAAGGAAGGGAAGGAAACCCCATTCCACCAGGACCTTCGTCAAGGTAGAGAAGAGTTCTGTCTTTATCAGGAATGCTGTGGTATACCGCAGATGTGCTAGACCCTGGTGGTTCCTTAAATTTATGGCAGTCAGGGCCAGGAGCTGCGGTCCTTTCTTACAGATGTTTGCAGAGGTGCTGCCCAAGTACAGAGAGGTGCTGCTACTTAGTAGAAGAACTTACTGCCCTCCAGCCATTTCTTCACTCTATGTCCTTATGTTGCTCGCGTACATTGCTATATATTGTTAAAATAAACAGAGACCTTATGTGATGTCCATTGTGATTATATACAAAAGCGTTGCTGTATGCCTGGGTGAGCAGTGAAGCCCGAACCTCCTTCTATTTACTGTATGGTCACTGTCAGTTCAATGAACTGCCTTCTTGTTCTCGACCATTGTCACACACTCCCTTAAACATTTGTCACTGAAGTGCCTCCAAAGACAAATAAACTGTCACTGAGAATTCAAATCTGCTAACTGGGGAAATGGGAAAGGCCTTGAGGACGCATGATTTTACATCAAATCCTAAAGGAATTTCTCTCAACCTGGAAGACGTCTGTTAGTAGGAAGGATTTGAGAATCCACGGGAAAAGCCAGAGATGCCGTTTCCTTCATTAATGGTACTTTCAGGCATTCTCCGTGGGACGTTTGAGATGATCAAATGTCCAAAATTCCAAAAGGCTCCCCAGAGAGCATGAGATATTACAGATGTCAACATCTGTAAAAGTCCTTTCTTCCTGGAAGCAGATGGCAACATACAATCCCGTACCAATAGCTGAAGGGTCTTACCATCTATCTCACCAACCTGTTCTGGAATCCACTAGGTTTGTGGGGAGAGGAAGAATGGGGGATGTCCAGGGCTCCAGTGTATAATTGTTTAAATTAAAATGGACCACCGATCAATGTTCACTTTCTTCAAGGAAGAAAGCATAAAGCCTCGTGTCCTCTCTCCCCAAGAACGAGCTGTGTTGATTTATTCCAGGCAGATGCTTTTGACAGGACCCTGTAAAATCAAGTCGTGAGTTTATTGTAGCAGTTAATTATCAGGCCTTTTCTAGTGCTAATGCCTTTTACTTCTTACTGGGGAAAACTGGGCCTTTTACTAGGACAAAGACTTAACTTATAGTCAAGAATGTGTTAAAATAACATGAGGTGGAGATGATTTAAATATATTTAAGGAAAAACACCAAGCATTGCTAACTCCTCATTTTGTAAAGAAAGCTGATTTCATTTACACATTTCTAGGAATACTCTTTGTTCACTTCCCAAAGAAACAATGCTCTCAGCTTTGTTTTAACAATATGTTTACTCAACCATACAGGTGACTGGAGTTTCCAACCACACACCACTCTCCTAGGCTCAAGTCTGATACTGCAACTATCGTAGACTTTCTGCTAGAGCATATATACATAAAGCAATCTTGGCTTTAGGGGTACCAAGGAGTGCCTTGAATATTCAGAAAAGCTGGAAAAAAGATCGAATTAAAGGCACATGAAACCTCAAAAGTAGGGGGTGGAAGTGGGTGGGAGAAAGTCAGAAGGGGGCATAGCTTTGTTAATTACTTTAGGCAGCAGAGAAATCTGGTTATGTTTTTCTCAGCACATGTTAATATCAAATAAAGAGACACCAGATCTTGCTAATCTGTCGACCCCTCAGACAAAGTTTATTTGTGGTGACTTTTAAACTCCTGACTTGCCTTCCAATCACCGCGTTTAAAATGAAAAGCTTTAAATAAACACCAGGAATAGAAGATAAATAAACTTTTTTTCCCCCTTGCAAGTGCCTAGCTTGGCGAGGTTCAGGCTCAAATCCCCAGAGGACAGAGCGCTCTCTTTTGTGTTAATGTTTAAAAGATTTTCCAATGCCGGAGTTTATTCCTACTGCAAACATTTCTATTTACAAGGTCAAGTGTATCAGCACTCGACACAGCTTAAGAGTGTAATTATTTATCTAAGGGCGTTTGAGTGTAGATCAGTAGCTCTGGCAGGAACCCAGCCTTCAGCTCACTGCTAAACAACTCCTCACAACAATATTACAAGTTCTGGTAATTGTTCCTCTCCCCAGTGTGTTTACTTTTGCCCGCCTGAATGTTTTGTAACAAAATTTTGTACTTTTTCCACCAAAAGTGTGAAAATGACTTTGAAGTATTGAGTCTTGTAGTCTTCTAAGACCTATTGGTTAACACATGTTATTGGCATGTTTGATTATATCAGAATGTCTAGTAGCCAGAGAGGACACTCTTGGGGGTAAGGGGTAATATTGAGGGGGGGGCTTTGGGGAGTGTCCCAAGGGAAAAGGGGGAGTGGGGAGGGAAATGTGATATCTGTCTGGGTTATCCCAAACTTATGTGCAGGAGACACTGTTTTGTAAATTCTCTCCACAAATGTAAAATCAATGGAGGCCAATTATATCTTTTTAGCTGCCTCATTTACAGATGTCTAATTGTTCATTAAATTAAAGGCAGAGATAATAGCCTGCATTTCTTGTCTTGTGCTGTGTTTTAATTTCAGTTGATGGTTGATAGATTCCTTGTACCCCTTCCACCCTCCCCCTCCCCCATGATTAGGTTAACCACAGTGTAACTCTGGAAAGTAACTACACCATATTCATTGTTTAAAACTCTTTACTGATGTACATGTTTTAATAAAACAAATAATCAAAAAATACACAAATCCACAGTTATTTAAAACTTAGGATTTTAAAAAAATGATGTCTATAAAAATACAATGTTTAAGGCAGTTTGGAAATGCATTTATACATTTCTACAATGTCCATAAATTCTCTGGAAAATAAGAATGTTAACTTCAAATCTATAAAATACACTGTACATTTTAAGACTGTTCTAAATAGAGCACACTTCACAATGGACTATGGGTTTGGATCCCTGGTGACAAATGGATTCTATACATTTCAGGGGGAAGGGTAAATATGGATGTGAATTTAAAATTTTAATTTCTTTTTAAAAATAAATTATTTCTGAAGCATACAATTTATAAAAATTCTATATACAAAGTACAGCAACTGGTAACAAACCCAGTTTTAATACACTTTATATAGGATGTACCAGAGTTTAGTACCCTGATAGGAGCAGAGGCAATATATAGTTCTCTGCATATTTGAACATACAATTTCTTGATGGAAAAAAGAACAAAACAAACATCATAAAGAGGCTTTCATAGATGGCAGTGTAGAGCTTTTTAAATAAAAAGTTGCATTGTTCAACACCATAGCACCCCCTTAGATCAGCATTTTTTGACCCTTAATCCTAAGAAATGTGCTGAGTGGTACCAAGGAAATTGAGGTCAAGGGCTCAAAGTTATCCAAAACCAATTCAGGGGTTCCTCCTAAGGCAATCACAGCGCCCCCCTCCCCGGCCGCGTGTCACTAAGAATTCTGAGCTCTGAGGCCAAGACTAAATGAATGAATCAGTAATCAGGGACTTTTCTGTTTACTTACGATTGCAATGTCCTCACTGGCGGCAATAAAAAGAAAAAGTTAATACTGGCACTCCCCCTCCAAAGGAAAAATGCTAAGAAACAGGCAGCCCCTTTGCAAATACAATCCTTCCTGCAAACTCCATCCTCAAGCCCAGACCCCTGGAACTGTTAAGGCCCTATCTACCTTCTGAGACCAGAACTACAGTCCGGTCCCCCTCCATCCCAAACGCTAAAGGCAGGTTTCTGGAGGGCAGGCAAGTGGGGAGTTTCTGGAGTCTGGAATGGGGGCGAGAGAGGTCCAAGAAGTCATGCTGGGGAGAGGAGACGGGGAAGTGCCAAGACTGGTGGCAGGGAGACCGGCAGTAAGCCGAATCCACTCGGAAAAAGTTTTGGGAAGTATCCCCAACCATCCTCTCTCTCTGTCCCCAAGCCACAGATACCCCGGGCTCAGAAGCGAGCAGGAGAGCCCGCGCGAAAGTGGGACGCCGGCCCTCCGCAGCCAACAGCCGGGGGGCGCGAGTGCTAAAAGATCCGCCCGAGCAGCAGCAGCAAGATGGAGGCGAGTGGGGTCCAAGCGCCTCGGGGCGCCGAGCGGCCGCTGCTGCTGCTCCTGCGCCCGGGCCCGTAAGGCGGGTCCCCGCGGCCGCCCGCCGCAGCAGCGCCGCCGCCCGGGCGCGGCGGGTGCGGGAGGCCGTCGTCGTCGTCCAGCGGCTGCTCGCCACCCGCGCCACCGGGGCGCTGCTCGTCGTCGTAGTCCTCGTCGTAGTAGTCGTCCAGGCCCCCGTCCGAGCCGCTGCTGCCCGGGCTGTTGCCCAGGTCGGCGCCGAAGCACAGGCGGGCCATGTTCTCTTTGACCGACTCGCAGATGGGCCGCTCGAGGCCATCGCACACGCAGTCGTTGAGCAGCGCCGCCTTGGGTACCGCCCGCATATCCTCGATGACCGTGCGGCACTCGTCCGTGCAGCGCAGCCCGTTGAAGAGCTTGCCGCAGTAGGTCAGGTAGCGGCTGAGCGCCAAGTTGCAGCGGCTGTCGCGGTCGCAGCGCCGCCGGGCCTCGGTGCAGCCCATGACCCCGCCCGCGCCGGCGCCGCTGGTTCGGGGCAGGCACGGCTCAATGGCGCGCTTGGTTGACTTGCAGTTCTCGTCGAGCGCGCAGTCACAGTCCTCCAGGGCGGGCCCGCGGCGCGTGTGGTTGAGCTGAATGAGGGCCGATATGCAGTGGCTCGGGCAGCGCCAGCGCGACGAGAAGGAGGCTGCCGAGGCAGGGAGGGCGGCGGCGGCGGCTCCCTGCACATCGCCCCCGCCGCGCTGCGCCAGCACCGGTGCGCACGCCTCGGCGTACTGGTTGTAGGCGTAGCTGCACTCCGGCTCCCCCTGGCACTGCAGCAGCGCTTGCCAGCAGATGAGGCGGCGGCCGTGCGCCAGTCCTGAGCCCCGCGGCGCAGAGCCCAGCAGCTGCAGCAGCGCCATCAGGCATAACCAGGCGCCCGACACAGTCCCCCCGCGGGCCTCGCCGCCGCCGCCCCGCAGCGCTGCCACCATCGCGGGCAGCGGCGGCAGCCGGACGAGGAGCGGAAAAGAGACGAGGCGCTGGGAGCCGCGGACTCGGAGCCGGTGGAAAAGTTTGCCCAAGTCCTGCCCACTTCTTGCATGAGTGTCTTCATAAATCCATGCGCGCCGCTGGCTAATGCCCAGCTGGTGGCAGAAGGTCAGCTCGCTCGGGCTGCGGTGGCTTCCTAGAAACGCACAGCCGCCAAATCTTGTCCCGCGTTCCCACCTCAGAGCCCTCCACTCGACCCCCGGCGGTGGCGGGAGGCGCTCACTGTCGCCCTGGGGGGCTGCGGGCCGCGGGGCCGTGGCGGGGCTGCAGGACCGCGCGGCGCCGTGGGTGCATTTTGCTCCGCGCCTGCAGATCCGTTGTGCGGCCGGTGGCGCCCGCGGCCGCTGCTAGCTCTGCAGACTGAGAGGTTCCTTGCTGCTGAGCTCAGCGCCGCTCCGCCGCCGCCGCCGCCGCCGCGGACTCTCGCATCGCGCCGCTTCCTGGCCCGGCGACCGAGCGCTGCCCGCCTTCCCGCGGCCGGGCCGCCCTGCGTCCCCTCCCCCTCCGCCCGCGGCGACCCCGGCCTCCGCCGAGCTCCAGGGAGCTCTTTCCGGGCGGCGCGGGGAGAACAAGAGAGTCGGCGCGGCCGGAGAGCAGCTCCCGGGCTTCACTCGGCCGCGGCTTCTCGGGTGACCAAGAGCCCAGGGAGCGGATCTGTTGAGCCCGGCTCCGGACTCGCTCGCAGCGAGGCTTTAAATACAAAAGTGGGCCGGGAGCCCCCGCGTGGTGCCGCGGTGCCCCCTCATTATGCATGCATGGAAAAGCAAACAAACAAAAACATTAGCAACGCTCCTCCAGCTTGCCCAGCCCCGGCCCCGCGCGCTCCGAGCCTGCCCGCTTTCTCCTTTCTCCACTCTTTCGCCCTTTGCTCGGCCCCTTTCCCGGCTTTTCGAGATGCTATTGGTCCTGCCTGTTGCTGCTGAAACTTTTTTTTTTTTTTACGAGCCGCTGGAGTGGGGTGGCGGAGTGGGGGAGGGCGGAGAGGGCGGTGGGCAGCTCACATTCAGGCATTCAGGGCCTGAAAGGAGAGGCTTAGGGAGCTTGACAGAGCCCTGGAGCTCCTCCTCCTCTTAAGGAGGCTCGGATACTGAGCCCCGGCTCGCTCGCAGAACCTGCGGGCAGGGCTTGCGGCCAGATGTTTGCATCCGGCTCAGCTACGGGCCTTTTTGTTTGGCTTTTTCCTCCCCCCCCCCTTTTTTTTCTTCCTCTTCCTTTTTTTCTTTTTCTTCCTCTCCTCCCCATCTGTGTCTTATATTGGATTCACAACGCAGTTTATGTTTCTGGTTCCTCATCTTTGGGTCCTGGTCATCACGAGGAGAGGGGAAATCTAGAGAATTTAATAGGAAACTTTAAAAACTCTCTTTAAAAACTTTTTTTTTTTTTTTTTGCAAGCACAAAAGAAAGAAAATGAGATATTTACAACCCCTGCCGATCTGGCAGGTTCGGCCTTTGCACCAGGCATCGTTTCCAAATGGCAAGACAGAAATCCAAGCAACTGAATTAATTTCTTAGGAATATAAATTTATAACATGCGCGGTAATAAAAAAAAAAGCATTAAAAATGTTAAGGAATGTTGAACAGTGCCATCTGGCTACAGCCACAACATAGAAGAAGGAGATAAATTGACAATGCACCAAGGTTTATATTAAGCGCAAATTTCAGTCCATCTCTTAAATTTAAGGGAGGCTGCACCGCGAAGGAACTTCTGCCATCTCGGCGCGGGAGTTTGCGAGCTACCTTAACTGTGGCGCAACGCAGCCTTCGGCCACCAGAGGCAGCGGGCGTCTGTGGCCTGTCAAAAACTGGCGCTTTTTTCCTCCCCTTTCCGTGGAGAGACTATCAACTCCATCTGTCACAAAAATTAAGGCTAAATCTCCTCTCCAAAAGCAGAGGGAAGCCGAGGCTCCAGAGCACTCGGCATTGGGCTGTCCGCCTCTCCCCAGGGGCCAAGTGAATTTGAAATGGCAAAAGTCAGAGGCAGAGCCCCAGCTCTGGTAGATTTATCCATCATGCTGCAGAAAAACCTCCTGTTAGTGCTGAGCAAGCTGCATCTCTGCAGTCCCCCTAACAAGAAACTTTAAAAGAACCAGGTGGAGGTAAGGCAGACCATGTTGTTCTGACTTGAATAGGAGAAAACAAACAACCATGTAAATCTATACATTACAAAATTAATGAAAAGATTGCAGCTTCATGGCACTTCGAAACAACTATATCCCTGATTGCTTTTTTTCCTATTATTCAGGGTCATAATCTCAGTCCTGTTAAGAGGACTTGGACAACTCACATGCCTTCTCTGTGTCTGGGATCTGTCACGTGTGAGGTTCAAGGCTAGATAAGACACTTGGAAAAATTCAAAGACATTTGAAAAGTCCTTTTTGGTTTTAAAACTCTGGGATTTGGGCTCATAGGGAATAAGGTCAACATTCAGTTGCATCTTTAAGTTAATGTTGTTCAGTTCCTTTAGAGTAGTGGGTCCCCAACCTCAGAAAGCACAGGAATCATCTAGTGGTGCTGTGAAAGCCCAGGTTGCATGGACATTCCAAGACCACTCGTAGTCTTGACCGAGTTTCAGCTTCTAGAGGAGGTTGAGGAAGGATTGCTGGAGCCCATGAGTTTCTAGGCTGCAGTGAGCTGTGATGGTCCCCCTATTGCCTGGGCGACAGAAAAGATCCCTGTCCCTAAAAATTAAACAAACAAACAAACCGGATTGCTAGCTCCTGGAGTTTCTGATTCAGGAAGACTGGTGGGGCCCAAGAATCTGCATTTCTAACAGTTCTCAGAAAATGCTGCTGCTGCTGTTGCTTATCTGGGGACAAAATTTTGAGAACCAATGCTTAGAGGTTAAAATGTGTCTATTATGTGTGTAAAGCTTGCCCCACCTTGGCCTCAAGGCAGCTTTCAGTGAGATTTAAGGGAGGCCCAACAGCTCTGTGTGCTTTGGGGACACCTCTGCCCCCAGTTTCACACATTGGGATTGGCCTGAGGGATAAGCAGCTTCCTTTTTACTGTTTCATTCTCTTTTATCCCCACTAAGCTATACTTTCTCCTATCTCAACAATAAGCAAGCAAATAAAAATAAAATATTTCTAGACCCCAAGGTCCCAGTAGGTAATTAGCCTGTTTCTGTGAAAACTTGAACGATTTGCTTTTCCTCACTTTCCCTACTCCTTCCTCTTATTCTTTCCTCAATTCACTACACATAGTCAAATTTCATCCTGCCATTTTACTTGTCAAGGTCACAAGTGACCAAAATCTTGCTCTACCCAATAGTCACTTTTCAGTCCTCACCTTAGTTTACCCTTTCGGAAACCCTGGACATGACCCAGCTCACCTGTTTCCCATTTTACTCCCTGGTTGCTCCTTCTGTCTCTGAACTCCTTCCTTAGGTGATTTCATCCAGTGCCTTGACCTCAGTCTTTCTCTGATGTCCATCAAAGAGCATTTCAATTTTAACCTACTCTGAGACTCCTGGAACCTATTTGCTGGTCTTTCTGTGTAGATTTTCTCCCAAATCAATCTCCATCAGTTTTCTCCCTCCCTTTACATCCGCACTACTCAGATCAAACCATAGCAGCTATTTCCCTTTCCCCTAAGTCTTGGGCAGGTCTTAATGACTTCGACCAGTAGGATAGAGTGAAAGTGACTAACATTCTGGGGCTTCCAGATCTAGTTCACAAGAAACCTTCCAGCTTCTACACAGCCCTCTTGGAATGCTTGCTCTAGACAAGCCAGTCGCCCTGTAACAAGTCTGACCACCTTGAAAATGCCACAGGGTGAGGAAGCACAAGCTGAGCTTATGTGAAAGATATACACAGAGGAAAGAGACCCTGGCCAGTTCCCAGATGTTCAGCCATGAATGAGAAGACATCAGCCATGTGAGGGAGAGTTGTGTTGGATGTCCAGCCCAGTTGAACCTTCTGATGACTCCAGCTCCAGCTGCCATCTAACTGAAAACACATGAAAGAGACTGCAAGCCAAGATTAGGATCAGGATAAGGCAAGGAAGGCATATTGGTGCAAAAATTAAGGAGGTGCTAACTCTTATGATGCTGCTGCAGAGGCTCCAAGAGTAAGTTCCTTAAATTTTGTACTCAAGGTACTCCACTCACATCTCTCCAGTTCTGGTCTTTCTCCATGTAAAATCAGCAAAGCATAGTCCAGTCAACCTAAAGAATCTGGACAAGTAACAAACAATGTTGTTTTTTTGCTACTCCATTGGCTTCGAGATGGTTAGTTATATAATAGTAGATCATTAGAAAATCACATTATCTCCAATTGCTTAGGAAACAGATACTAGTATCTACCTACTTAACATGCCCCATCCAATTGATGGCCCATCCTAGGCAGTCAGTAAAATATTTAATAAGTTGAATGAGTAGAGAGAAAAATCAGAATTTATTTCTTATCTTCTGAATCAGCCAACTCAAATCGTTTGTGCTATAGGAAATGATACAGAGATTCTGAGAGTTTAAAGAATATGGCATAATTCTGATGTTTTAAAATACAAAATGATATTTCCAGAAGTGGTTCAGTGAAAGGACAAAAACCTCAATTGATAAAGAGCAATTGTCTCTTGGTGCTCAGCAATATGTCTGCTATGAAGTAAGAAGAGGTAGATTCTTGTCCTCAGGTGACTTGACAATATGTCACCTGGCCATCTGGGGATACCAGACTCACCACTTAGCAGAAGTCCCACTCACTTGTTCATTTATTTTTGTCTTTGTAACCAGAAAAATATCAATGCTTTAGTTTATGACAGAGACTCAGTGGAAATCAAGCAATTTCTACTCTAGAATTCCATATTACACCTCATTCTACACATAGCCTACCTCATTCTTCTCCAAATTCTTCTCTTTGTCTCTCTGATGCTTTCTTAAGAAGAATTAATTCTCGGGGAAAAAAGCAGAAGGAGAAGAACCCCATGTGGAAGGAAATTCTTTTTATGCACAACAAAATAAGGGGAGGCTCAGGAGACTTCTCCTGAACTCCAGCTTTCCCTGTCTCTCTCAAGGACCATCTCCATATCCTTGAGCCCTAATAATTTTGTCTAAGACAATGTGTTTTGCCTTCACCCTTTCTGTCTTCTCTTTGCCCTGGTTTCTTTGAGATTTTCATCATTGTTGAACACTAGGTTTTTCTCAGCTCTTCTTCCAAATTAGAGAAACATCTCAGAAGCACTTGGGAGCGTCTTCAAAATGCACATGGTTGTACCAACTCTATTACACTTGAATTTTTCCCCAGTGGTCATAGAATGTGTATTTTGGAAAAAAAATACAAAGACATATCTTTGCCTATATAATCTTTGCCACTGGTTCCCAGACTTAGAGAATTCAAACTAATTAGAGATTAGTTTATTTTCCAAAAAAAAATTGGAATACCTTTGAAAAAATGTCACCTTTTTATTTTATCAAGTATTAACAAATAAACCTCTTACTATCTATGAACACCAGTGTCTTATTAAATAAAGGAAATTTGAAACTCCAAATGCAGGGATGGAATAACCAGAGAATAAAGATCTTTAAATTGAACACATTTCGATCTTTAAAAAATTTACTACATTGTCCTTTTTTTTTTCCTCGTTCAAGATAAACTTCTTTGGAAATTATTGCTTCTTCAGACAGCATTTTAGAATCACTTCTCTAGAGAGATCCTCAGTGACCCTCCATGCCAGAATCACTACTCCACTTAAAAATTTGCAGTGACTCACCAGGAA